TGACGTCTTCTGAAGGTCGTCATATCATTGACGTCTTCTGAAGGTCGCCATATCATTGACGTCTTCTGAAGGTCGTCATATCATTGACGTCTTCTGAAGGTCGCCATATCATTGCCGTATTCTGAAGGTCGTTATATCATTGACGTCTTCTGAAGGTCGCCATATCATTGACGTCTTCTGAAGGTCGTCATATCATTGACCTCTTCTGAAGGTCGCCATATCATTGACCTCTTCTGAAGGTCGCCATTTGTGCATTTTGCGAAAAACATATATTTGTCCAAAAATATTTTGACACAATTATTTAAAGATAAACTGGACATTTCATACTAATAAATCGCTAAATACCACCACACGGTCGCCATTTTGTTTGTTTTTCAAATATGCAGTAATCTCACACTGATCTTCTGTAAATCAAATAAACCCATAATTAAATAATATAAATATTTTACTATTGCCGATAAGGATACTAATGTTTTTATTTAAACATATCACGATTACAATTAGAGATAATTAAGTAGCCAATTAGCTAATTTATTTTATATGTGTTGTAACTACTTCTCCTCCTAATATTGTGAGCTTGTTTTTTTATCCCCACCTTTTTTTTTAATACTGATTATTAATTAAATATTAAGGAATAATATATTATTTGGTTTAACGGAAAGTAAATTCTGGTGATTGAATCAGGTGTTAATGACTAGTATATTGTTGTTGTTTTTAACACACTGGTTCTATGTAAAGCGCAAAAACTAAGCTTATTCTAACCTAAAATAATTTGTCCAGATACGCTATGCTAGCCCAGAAAGACTTTTCGAAAGACTCACCGACCTTCGTTTCCTGAGCATCGACTTTTTGAACACTTTTCTACTAACCTACAGGGTGTTTACTGACGCTGTCACTGTACTCAAGGCGCTGAAGAAGGTCCATTACAATCCAGAGCTCCAGATGAACACATCTCTTCAAGACTCGACAGGGTAAAAACGTAGCCAACATCGTTAGTCAGCTTTAAAAATCACTACATTATTGTTTTCTTTTTAATCTTGGTGTGTGTGTGTGTTTATTTCTGCAGGCTTCAACTGCAAAAGCGCCAAAGTCATTGAAAATGGCGCTAAAGTCTAATTTTGTTCATAATAGATTGTTATATACCCTGTAGTTACGCCGAAACGTTCACCACACTATATTGTTGTACACCCTGTAGTTATGTCAAAAGGTTTGTCACACTATGTTGTTGTACACCCTGTAGTTATGTCAAAAGGTTTGTCACACTATATTGTTGTATGCACTATAGTTATGTCAAAAGGTTTGTCACACTATATTGTTGGTGTACTTTG